AAAGACTGGAGCTTTGTAATGTTGCACAAAATACATACAATAAATGTACAGGTCATACTCAGAGGGAGGAGGGGTAGTTGACAGGCACTGGCCCTGACTTTCTATTTTAGGGTGTCTCCTTTACCTTGCAGGGTCCTGTAGAGCAGGGCTCAAAATTTCCACTCGCCCCCTCGCAATTGGCGAGTGAAAATTGCGAAGACACCCTTGTGTGTGCTGGTAAGCTGTGTGCATCTTCACAAACACACAGACACAGCAAGGCAAGCCTCTCCCTGCTTCCCCTCCTCCTGCCTCCTCCTTCCTTGCGTTCTACTCCCTTCTCCAAGCTAGTAAATGGACAGCTGCTGGAGAATGCAATCATGTACTAGACTGGCAGTTCAGGGAAGCAGAGTTGGGAGAGTTGGAGCTCGCTGTTCAGAAACATAATGACTGTAAGTGCTTGGGCAAAAATGTAAAGAAGTACTTTGCGGGACAATTTATATTTGTTTGATCTGGATTCATTATTGAAAAAAAAATCTTAGGATTTAATATTACTTCAATGTATAGATGAATAGGATAAGGGAGGTGAAGGGGTTAATATACAGGTCAGAGAAGAGACAGAATGGAGATGACATATGGGGGGTGAAATGGTTAAAAATAATCACAACGTCTATTATTTGTTGCTGCTGCTTGTTTTAACTAGAAACTAATGAATTACTTACTCATTAATTAGTTCCTAATCTCTCCCTTTCCTCTGTTGTAAGAGGAAGCAATGTCAAAATTGCCATGTGGTCAGTGTGATGACCAATCACAGTGGTCACAAGGGTCCGATTAGCTCTGTGCCTGTAGCCGATCCTCTCCGCGTCCTGATGACAGCAGAAGCAGTGGCTTGTGCGGGTGCACCAAGGTGGACATGGGTGGTCGTATATGTACGTCCTCCTGGAATAACCTATCCACCTAATGGCCGTTAATATACAGTGGCTGGTAGGAAAGTGGTTAAAACAGAGGTGGGCAGTCCAATGAAGCATTGCAAGACTGACAGTTACAGGCATGACCCCCAGAGGCAGAGGCATGTTGGAATTTGTAGTTAAAGCACAGCTGGAGGGCCAGAGTTGCCCACCCCTGGGTTAAAGGAAACCTGCTCGTTGATGTCATGGGTCTTTTTTCCTATTTTTACATCTCAGTGTGGAGAACTTTCCTCTTCGCCTGAACAGAGTACTGTGAACCCAGGCAGGGCCGGCCTTAGGGGTGTGCGAGCCGTGCGGCCGCACAGGGCGCCATGGCAACAAGGTCGCCGTGCGGCCGTCACAGCTCGTCCTGTGTACGGCTTCTCTCCCCCTCCCCCCCCGCCCTCTGCTATGACAG